AGCACTGATGAAACACAACTTTCCTCTAGTTCTTTAATGCTTCCCCCCACCCCCACTATCATGATCCCAATTCTACCTTACAAATCCGGCTAGACCAGAACATGTACATGGGTACAGATAAGAGCTAGAAACAAGGAGTCCAGGACAGATAAACCCCTCAGGACTAATAATGAGAGTAGTGATACCAGGAGGGCAAGGGAAAGGTGGGGGGGAGAAAGGGGGAACCGATCACAATGATCTACATATAACTCCCTCCCTGGGGGACAAGAGAAAAGTGGGTGAAGGGAAACATCGGAGAGTGTAAGACATGGAAAAATAAAAGTAATTTATAAATTATCAAGGGTTCGTGAGGGAGGGAGGTTGGGGGAGAGGGGGGGTGGGAATGAGGAGCCGATACCAAGGGCTCAAGTAGAAAGAAAATGTTTTAAAAATTGTTATGGCAACAAATGTACAAATGTGCTTGACACAATGGATGGATGGATTGTGATAAGAGTTGTACGAGCCCCAATAAAATGATTTAGAATGAAAGAAAGAAAGTACCACGGACTGCCAAAAGAACTAACAACTCTGTCCTGGAAGAAGTGCAGCCAGCATGCCCCTTACAAGGGAGGAAAGTGAGTTGTTTTCTCGCGTACTTTGCCCGTCCCTGGGGAAAGCCATCATGCTTGGTAAAGCAGAGGGGCAGCAAAAAGGGGAAGAGAGGTGGATTGACACAGTGGCTGCCACAATGGGCTCAAACATCACAATGAAAGGGTGGCACAGGACAGGGCAGTGTTCGCTTCCGTTGTCATAGGGTCCCTATGAATTGAGCCAACTCAGCGGCATCTAGCAACACAACTCTTTTTCTTTCACTTCAAGAGCTCAACAGGTTGTTACGGTTTTCTAAGGCCCACTGACAGTATTAAAATGAAAATGTCTAGGTGCCGTGTGAAATATCTATAGTAGGCAAATGTGTAAAACTGAGAACCCAAAACCCACCATCATCAAGTTGATTCTGACTCACAGAGAGCGGACAGGACAGGACAGAACTGCTCCTGTGGGTTTCCAAGACTAACTCTTCACAGCACTAGGATGCCTCATCTTTCTCCTGAGGAGCCACTGGTGGTTTTGAACTGCTGATGTTTCAGTTAGCAACCCAAAGAGTAACCCACTAGGCAACCAGGGCTGTAGGACACCGGGACAAATGTACAGAGGGCAGAATTGACTAAAAGTGGTCACCAAGGGTGAGAGGGGAATCACTATTCAGGAAGCAGTCAGTGTCTGAGTGAGCAGTGAGGGGGGGGGCTGGGAAATCCGGTTTCATAGTTACATAATTTCATGTCAACTTGAAGATACATAAAAGTGTAGGGGTGGTATTCAACCTGTCCATCAGGTCACAGCTTGATGGTGCCTCCTTGTGGGCATGGCCTTCTCATAAGGCGGGCCCTGTGAGCCTCCCCTTCTCTGCCTTCACCTTCCTGCTGGCTGGCCCTGGCTACAGCCAGAGCCCTGGGGATGCATCCATCACCAGCCATTGGATCCATAAGACTTTGCACCCACCAGCCAGTGATCTTCCTGAATTCTGCATCATTGCATGTGACTGCATGAGTCTGAAGAGGGGCTTATGAACTAGTATTGGACCTAAGGGTCTGAGATGGACTGAGCTGGGATGTTTATAATTACCTCTTGATACAAAGCTCTTTCTGATACATATATGAGTGTCTTTGGATTTGTTTCTCTAGTCAACCCAGCCTAACACATCTGGCAACTAACACATCTGGAAACAGGTAAATTGGTGATGGTTGTACTACATGGTCTAAATAAATGACAGCAATACCTTGTACACATGAAAAAATGTTAAGTTGGCAAATGTGTTATATATTTTAACCACAATAAAAAGAAAAATCCTATTAAAAGTCTGTCATTATCCCATTTTGTAAAGCACTCATTTTACAAACCCAGTTGCATAACTTGGGCAGACTATCTCTGGCTCTTTCAATGTGATTTCGATGTTCCCAACATAGCATGAAGTCTTGAAATCCTTACTTTTCACAACCTGGCTTTCCTGCAAACTGGAACTTTTTTTTTGGGGGGGGGGGCGTAATATAACGAAAAAAGAAATGGGAGAGAAAAAGAATCCCACACTTGCTTGTGTTTCATGTGTTTCCTAAGAAGGCCCATCGGCATTGAGCTGATCTTGACAGAACAGACAAGGCTGGGGGCAGGCCATGGTGGGTGGTGCAGATCAGTCTTGGGAATTGGCAAAGTGGATGACAAAAAAGGAGGGGGGTGCCAGGCTGCCTAATTTTAGCTGTGGGTTTGTTTTTTGGGGGGGTCTTTTACATTTCCTACGGCCAACATTTAGCATGTGTAGCATCCGTAAGGCATCGTTTTTTTTAAGTTCAAATTTTGGACTCACTCGGACCCAGCTTTGTATGCTGATTCTTATTTCAAACTGTCCCTGGCCCTAAGTGACTCGCCCTCTGAGTCTAGGTTTTTGAATGGACAGAACTAGAGCTAAGGAGAACCTCGCAGAGTGTGGTGAGGATGACTCAAAAAGTCCCCTCACCATCACTGGCCTCCGGTGGCCATCGATAAGTGTCCTTCTTACCCTCTCCCTAGGTGGCACATGAAGGTTCTTGTTTTTGTCTCAAATATACCGGTGAGCCAACGGGCTCTTACAATGTGCCTCGCAGAAAGACAACCCCACCGACAGAGCTCTTGTTACCTTGATGGAGGCTGGTCCCTTCCAGGTCAGGTACTGCTCCAGTTCCGTCCCCTTCGCCCGGGCTCGGGTGGAGTCGAACACTGTCCTCTTGGAGCCCTGCACCCTGCTACAGACGGTGGAGTGTCGCTCCAGCCGGAGCAAGAGGAACTTGCGCCCACAGTGGCAGCACTCGCCCAGTTCAGGCTCTTCAGTGAACCGGCTGGAGCCCGAGGAGCCGGGTGCCTTGGGTGGGCTGGAATTGCTGGGGGCACTCCACGCAGTATTGCCCGGGGCTTCTGGTGGCTGAGAACAGGTCTCTGTGGACAACGCCGAGGCCTGGTCTCGGATCTTACTATTGCTTGCCACCAATCTTTCCCTTTTGAGTCTCTGCATCCCATAATCAGAGACCTGGAATGGACTAGAATTTTCTTGAGACCCTCCCCAAGTCTCCACCTCTCTCAGGTGCTCTCTGCTGGACACTTCTTGGGGGCTGACTTCTGGAGAGGAGGGGAGTTGGGACAGGCTGGTGCTGCCGCTGTGACCTTTGGCTCTTCTCCTAGAGTGCGCCATTGTGTCGGACTCTCTGGTTTCGTTTCCCCAGGCCTGACCCTTTTCCTTCTGGATTCGCCTGAGCTCCTCCTCTGTCTTCCTCAACTTTTCCCTCAGGAGGGTCTCCTTTCTTCGGATTTCCTCCTCTAAGCTCTCCCCTGCAGCTTCTAGCCTTTGGATCTGCAGCCGCTCCGGCCCAGGTGGATTTGCCCCGGCCCTCTGCGCCTGCGTGGCAGCAAGAGCAGGGCCCACGCCAGCTGGGTGCCCTGGGCTCCTCGACCCAAAGCCGCTGGAGGAAAGCCACTGGCTCTCCCTGGCACAGCCAGTCTGGTCCCCATCCGCGCCGGCCGCGCCGGTACTACGGGACTTGCGGTGGAACACGGGTTTCAGTGGGTAGGCGCGGTCCACCCCGACTCGCTTCTTTACAAAGGGGGTGCCAATCTGGTGATTGGCTTTGGGATGCCGGGGCTGAGAGGCCTGAGGGTCCGACGGGTAAAGCCAACCCTTTCCTTGGCCCTGGGGATTGGTTCCTAAATCCTGCGGGCTGATCCCAGCACAGC